TTTTTTTGAATTTTGGTAAACCATCAAAATAATTTGGTTTTTTTGTTTTTTTTTATTTATTTTTTTTAATTTTTATTTTTTTTAACGACAAATGATTTTTTTTTTTTTTTTAAATTGATTTTTGGTTGAAAATTAAAGCGAATTTTCGAATAAAAATAACATTTCATGTTTGGTTTATTTAGATTTAAAAATAAATAATGCCTTTTTTTTTTTTATAATTATTTTTTATACTATCTATTTAAAATCTTTTTTTTTTTATGAGAATATGATTATAGAAATCAAATAAAAAAAAAAAATAAAAAAAATAATATTATATAATAAAAATAAATATAATAATAAACTAGAAAATATTATTTATAAATCTATTATCATCATTTTTATTATTATTTGTAGTTAAAAAAAAATCTATAAATGGACCTAAAAAAAAACTGAAAAAATAAAAAAATAAAAAAACATTGTCTATTTATGATGATATACATTTTAAACCACTTCTTTAATTATTTGGGATGCGAATAAAAAAATAGTAAAATAGATTCCCAATAAAAACTATGATTGATTAGGGAAATAGTGACGGCATTTAAAAATGTAAATCTTTTGAAAAATTAAAAAATTAAAAAAAAAAAAAAAATGATCTTTATCTGTTTTTTCATTTTATTATAATATTTATTTTTTTTATTTTTTTTTTCAACACAATTTCTGGATGATAGTAATAAATGATTATTAAAATAAAATTGTTGAGTGAATTTTACCTAAACAAATAATAACAATGATTAATTTATTTTCCTCCATGTTTTTTGGTGAATACCTTAATTATTAATATTCATACTATTGTTAATATTATAATTATATTTCCATGCTGTCAATATTATAGCTAGATACTATAGTATCTATTATTATATTATGTAGAGATAGTTTCTATATCTTTAATATTTGTGTTTTAAAATTAAATAAAATTATATTTTTTTGAATTTAATATTTTTTTTATTTTTTCAATTATTTTTATTTTTTTTTTATTATTTTTATTTTTTTTTAAATATTTAATTTTTTTAATTTCACGAAATAATATTATTTTAAAAATTTCATTAATTTAAGTTATTTATATATCATTTTTATTTTCTATTTTCATAGTCATTATAAAATGTATGTTAAAATTATAATATCCACTTGTGAAAAAATATTAAATAAATACTAACTTTTTATTATTATTATTATTATTATTGTTGTTTATTTTTAATTAATATAGGAGTAATGCTAAACATTATTGTAAATATTGTAATATTTTCGTTCAAAATAATATTTCAATAAAGAACCACGAAGAAGGATGGAAACATAAAAACAATGTAACTAAATATATATCGAATCAAAATAGAGAGAAAAAGAATCAGGAAAGAGAACAAAAGAACCAAGAAAGAGAAATTAAAAAGATTATAGATTCAGGTTCAAAAGCATTTAGAGAAAAGGATCTTAGTAGAGTTTTAGATGAAAAAAAGAGACAGCAAATAGAGCAACAACAGCAACAACAGCAAGCAGCCTATTATCAACAATATTACCAACAACAACAACAACAACAACACCAAGACCCTCAACAAGCAGCATATTATCAATATTATAACCAACAACAACAACAACAACAACAACAGGAGAAAAAGAATCAAGAAAAGGGGGAAACAGAGGAAGATGACTTAGATTTAAAAACTGATGACGAGAAATTGGAGGCTATAAAAAGACAACAGAGAGAATATATAAATAAAAATGACTATTATAATTATTATCAAGAAAGACAGCAACACATATATGATTTTTATAAAGAAGAGGAAAAAATTGTAAAGCCAGAGCCACCAATAAATAAAAGTCTATATGGTTATACCGATTCACCACCCCCCTCAATTAGATCATCTGTATCTTCAACTGTTACAACCTCATCTACTGATACTTCGACTTCATCTGCCAACAATTCACCAAATAGTTTAAATCAAAAGAAAAGAAAAAAAGATGAATGTGACTCACCAACCCCATTAAAGATATCCAGGGAAAACAGGAATATTAATTCAAATGGCAACGATAGTGAAAATAATAAAGCAGCAGAAGAAGAAGATAAAAAAGAGGACGAGGAAGAGGATAATGAAGGTAAAGAGGAGCAAGAAGAGCAAGAGGAGCAAGAGGAGGAAGAAGAGGAGGAAGTTGATCCAAACGAAAGTATTGTTGGTCAATGGGAAACAGTAGCCCCCCAAGAGAGTGTATTTCAATCAGATAAAAGATTTGCAGAAGAGGATGAGGACGATCAAGACAATACAGGTAATAATGGTAAAGATGATGATGATAAAAATTACTCTGATCCTTCAGATGTAGATAGCGAAGAAGAGGAAGTCAATATTACCAGAAGAGCGTTTGCTAATCAAAAAAAACCTTTATCTAATGTAATCTCACCAACAATTCCATCAACTTCAAAATCATTCGAAAATAAATTATCATTTAATAAATCAGGTGTATTCTCAATTAACTTGGGTAATGGTGGCAATAATAATAATAATAATACTACAGAAACCACAACAACTTCTACATCACCAGAAAAGCCCGCTCAACCAATACAATTAAAATTTAATAAACCATTAAAACAAAGAAATATAAGAAAAACAAATGTAGAGGATAAACAAGCTTAAAATATAAATACGCAAAACCAAAATTAAATAAAATTATAAATATATATTTTTTTTATTTTTTTTTTATATATAAAATTTATAGTTTTAATTCTCTTTTACTATTTTATTTATTTAATACTTATTTCCAAATTGATAAATTTGAACTGATGTATTGATCTGCAGATAATGGTTTATGGCCGATAATATCTTCTAGGGCGACATCAACTTGGTCGAGATGACCTTTTTCGATGGCAACATTAACAAGTGTAACAAACTTTGAGGAATCTTTTGGTTGTCCAATTTTAACCATATTGTCATCAAATTGCTTTGCAGTAACTTCAGTAATATGAATTTTCTTGTGTAGCTGTTCGTTGAATATATCAATTATATCTTGAAGCGAAAGTGTTTTTGAATTGGTCATTGGGACGATTTTATGTTGGTAAAGTTTAAACTTTTCATCATTGGTTAAAAGAATGGCTGCACACTTTGAAACATCTTCAGAGGCTACCCAGGCTGTTCTTCCATTACCACAGGAGGAGTAAAGTTCACCTCTTTTAATAGACTCTTTCATATGGGTTGCAAAGTTGTCAAGGAAGCAAGTTGGTCTAAGTATAATATACTTCATACCCAAAAGTGAAATTTGCTCTTCACACTTTATGGTTGGTAAACCTTCTTCTGTTGCTAAAGTTGATAAATAAATTAGTTTTTGAATTTGACTTGATTGACCACCATGTTTAATAGTTTGTAAAAAAGGTTGGATTGTTTCATTTGCATGTAAATCGGCAGGATCGCAAGACATAAAGATTTTGTTTACGTTTTGTAAAGCACTTTTAAAGGTTTCTGGTTTTTTGTAATCAAATTCTACCATTTTAATTTTTGAACCAAATTTGCTGTATTTATTTTTATCATTACTATGTAAACCTAATTTAATTTCCCCACATCCCATATCTAGCAATGAGCAGATTAAATTTTGATTTACCCATTCATTATTACCAACAATTAATAAATCCATTTTAAAATTATTATGTTTATGACAATGATTTCTATTCTATTTACTCTTATGTAAAATAAAAAAAATAAAAAAAGTAAAAAAAAACAATTCCATACAAATAAAATTATTTAATTGGTTTTGGAGAAAAAAAATTCAAAAAAAAATTATTTAATTGGTTGTGGGGGGTGTGGTTGGATTAATGGGGTATTGTTTATTTAATGAATATTAATACTGCTTCGAAATTAAATTAATGAAGTTCTACATCCAAATTCAAGGTTATTTCGTTTTTGAAAAAAGAGGAAATTAAATTTAATTTACAAAAGTTATTTGTTTTTATTTTTAAATATTTTTTATATCTTTTTTTTATAAAAAATTTTTAAACTTTAAAAAAAAAAGAAAAAAAGAAAAAAAAGTGTTATTATTGATTATTTAAATTATGTTTGTACAATGTCGTGATTTTCATTGTTATTATTATTGTTATTATTATTATTAACTAAAGAATGAGTGAAGGGCTTTTCAAAGGTGATTAAATGGCAAGTAAGAGCCAAACCTAAAAATATTAAAGCAACGACTGAACTACCACTCCAATTCCAATGTGAATAAATGACACCACTGATTCCGCTACCAATAGATCCACCGATTAAATAGGAGGCCATATATATTGTATTCATGCTATACTTTGATGATTCTTCGATTGCTATTTGATTGTTTCTTGATTGATTACTGATATGACATGATTGAACACCTAGATCCAATATGAATATTCCAAAAATTAACCCGACAATATGGAAATCGAAAAACATTAAGATAAAGTATCCCAATGCACATATAAATATATAGATTACCATTAATCGATTGATTCCAAATCTTTCTGCTATTCTTCCACTTATTGGTGATGCAATTGCTCCAGCCATACCAATTAAACCAAAAAGTCCAATGAAACCACTATTATATTGATATGGTTCATCATTTAAACGATATGATAAGGTTGTCCAAAGTATACTAAAAGTTGCAAATACCATTGATCCTATGAAACTTGTTTGTCTCAAAGTTTTTTCCTTTTTTAAAAATTCCCAAGTTGATAATAAAAGTTTGTTATATGGTATAATATTCTGGTTTCCTAAATAAAATATAAATAAAAAAATAAGTAACTACACACAATAACAAATATATAGATTATATGATATAACTTACTTGGAGTGTATGGTAAGAAATAAAATAATAATAATGAAATGATAAACATTGTAATGGCAGCAAAATAAAATACTACTCTCCAACCAAAAAGGAACCCAATTACACCAGAGGTAACACGTGCACCTAATAGACCAACAAATACTGAAGATAAAAGGACACTAACAATATTACCACGATCTGAGGGGTTGGGAGTCATGTCTAAAGCTAAAGGAACGGCTATATAAGGAATAATGGTGGAAACACCAACGATAAAGTGAAATACTATAACCATTGCAATATGAGTTGACAAACCAATACCAACTAAAGCGGCACAATTAATCATTGATAGGACCAAAGTTAATTTCTTTTTTGACATTACTTCGCTCAAAATTGAAATGAACAACAAACCTAGAGCATAACCAATTTGAACCGACATTGTAACCAAAGATGTAATACCATATGGTAATGGAGTATCTTCACCAGAAATTTTACCAATTTCATTGAGTAATGGTTGTGCATAGTATAAATTACTAACTGAAAAAAATACTGAGAGTGATAGCAATATTAAAATTTTATAGTTTACTTTGCTTTTTTCATAGTTTGAAACGGGTCTAGTTATTGACGAGTTTGAATATCCTCTAATTAAGCTACTATTGTTATACATTGTTTGTTTGAAATCATTATTATTACTATTACTATCTAAAATTATATTGTTATTAGATGTGCTATATTGACTGTCGGTGTCAAATGTATCTTTTGTAATTGATGATGATGGTGATATATTATTTATATTTAATGGAGTATTTGGGGCATCAAAGCTACTACTGTAGTTTTGTTCTATATTATTGTTACTATAGCTTTTATTATCTATAATTGGAGAAAATGATAAATTACCATTAGTAATATGGTGATGGTGGCTTAATAAACCACCACTCCCTTTTATAGCTGAATGGTCATTGTTGTGAAGTGGTGATGAATATAGTATAATATCACTAGTGGGTATATTATTGAACCTATCTGTTGGAAATGTATTGTATTTTTCTGATGGTGAATTTTCAATTTTATCTTTAATTGATCTTAATTTATTTGTTAAAAGTTGTTTGAATGGCGATTGATGTGGTGGTGAAATTGAATTGCTTGATGCCATTTGATTGCTATTGTGAGTATTATTACCATTGATTTCATTCTCTTCTTCAATTTCAATAATTTCAAAATCATCAATACCTAATTGTTTTGATTTTTTATTCTTTTTTTGATTTATATTTATTGGATTTGATTTTTTATTATTATTTACATTTATATATTTATTACAATTATCTACTTTATAATAAGTGTCATCTTGATTATCTCTTTCTTCATAATCCTCATCGCCATCTTCTTCACTATCCTCATAACCGTTATTGTCATTATTTAAACTTTTATCATTACTATGGCTCCGATTAATATCTGGTAATAAACAATCTGAATAGTCTGAATCTGAATCAGAGTTTGTTGGTGTTAGAGTACCATAACCATATTGTGGTGGAATTGGTGGAGTTGGAGGTAAAGATGTATTTAAATTTATATTGTTGTTATTGACTATTGGTATATAGTTTCCACTTGCTGTTAGAGTTAAATTACCATTACTTCCATTAGAAACTAAAAAATCATTATTTGATAAAACTCTGCTAACTATCATATAATTTTCATTTCCTGAATAAATTGAATTTTCTATTTGTTGAGATTCGCAATTGCTATTACTAATTATACCATTATTCATATTATTATTATTACTATTGTTATTGTTATTGTTTATATTGCTATTGTTATTATTTATATTTTCTATATTATTTTCCATATTGCTGTTTATATTACTATTATTTGTATTTATGTTTTCTTCAGTATTCTCAATACCATTTTCCTGGTTTGATTGCTGACTTGAATATATATTTATCATTTTTTATTTATATTAACATTATATTACTATTGTTTTTATTATTATATATGAGTTTTATATTTATTTATATAAGATTTTAATTAATATATATTATATAATGATTTAAAAATATAAGAGATAAATACTGAAAAAAATTTTAAAAACCCAAAAAAATTTTAAAAATAAAAAAAAATAGATGATTTTTTATTATAATAAATATTATTATATATTTATTATTTTTATAATTATATTATTATTATTATAATTTTGATAGTAAATAGGGAATGGGAGATGAAAAAAATGGAAAAATATTTAACGAAAAACAATAATATTTATAATAACAAACTAGTTATTTATTTCTTATTTATATAATGGTTAATAAATACAAAAATTAAAAAAAAGAAATGAAAAAAAAAAAAAAAAAAAAAAAAAAAAGAATGTTTTTTAAAATAAAAAAAATAAAACGAGGAGTACAACCTATTAGCAAATATCCATTTATTTTTTTGGTGAGATATAAAAAAATAATATAAAAATAGAATAGAATATAACAAAATAGAATTTTTATTTTAAAATATGATATTGATCCCTCCTTTTTTAAAAACTTTTTTTAAAATTTACTTTGATTCCCCCTTCACAAATTACATATGAATTCTCACCCTCATTGATACTAACATACGAGGTTACCCCCACCCCCCCATACCCCATTCACCCAATACTTTTTGGTTTCTTTATTGTTTCCTCACCCCAATAGAAATAATTTTTTTTTTTTTTTCCATTTCAAT